GTGGTCTAACGATGGTACAATTTGTTTTTCATCTACTTCCTTCTCTGGGGAGGCATTGTCGTTTTCTTCTGTCCACATGCTTAATTGCTTCCCGACTGGTCTCTCAAGAAGCTGGGGTAAGGGATCTTCTTCAATGGATATTATTCTCTGCAGATGTTTTGTTTGAGGCATTCCCCCATTAGTACCATGGTCAGACTCCGAACAAAGATATCCATTAAAACCAATAGAACTCCTCCTTGTCGAGTTATTAAAAATATCTTCTTCTTCAGAGGACTGGCTAAAGAAAGATCAGAAACAGGTAGGTTACCAAACAATATTAGGCCTGATTTTTATTTCATTTACACTGGTGTAATTCCATCCAGTGGATTTATTCCTGCCTTAAATTAGTGTAACAAGGTACACACTCAGGTCCATTACACTATCTGTTCTGTACAATAGAGTTAAAGCGTACAGTCAACTGATGACTGAAAAGTAAGTTAAACATGAATGTGTGTGTAAAATCAATACAATAATTGATTGTATTGATTGTATGGAAGGGGACATATGTAGCGTGATTCTAAAGGCAATAACAATAGTAATATTTTTGGCTGAAAAGTCAGACATGAATAAAAGTGAATTTTGGCTCATCCTAAGCTGGTTCAAGTAGCTGTTGTAAGCTGCCCAGGCTGCTTGTTCGAAATGAACCAAACCTTTCTATCTCTGACCTAACTGGTATAAATCAGCACAGTTCCATTGAAATCTATGGAGGCCCGCCTATTAATACTAGCTTATGTCAACACTTTGTCAGACTCATGCTGTGGACCTATCCCCAAAATGATGTTCTACTGCCCTTCCCAGGTGTTTTGCCCAAGAGTAGCTTATTAATGACATGCAGCCCCTAATCCTGTTCTCATTTACTTCATATTTAAGATCCCATAATTCAGATTTAAATGGTCCATAATCTCATGTCTTATTCAAACCACATTCTTATGCAGCCCAGCTAGTCGGCAATCATTGGCTGAGGTGCACTCCTCAAGCAGAAGCTCTTGACGTTATCATGCCACACTAATGCTGATCCAAGTAACATCAGATACTGGACTGGCTTCTGCTGCTCCCACAACTGAGGAAGCCTAAAGATGACTCGGAACCTCCTTTCTCTCCAGCCCCAAGCAGCATGAACAGTGTGGGAGTCATAGTTGAAGATCTGATCCTAATTTTTTTTCAAACAGAGCCCTGAAAATGGGCTGATTAGGCCGGCGGGTCCCAACCGCCGGTCTGCGGGCCGGTGCGGACTGTGAACCTCTGCCTGCTGGGCCGTGGCATACTGCCAGGCCATGCCCCCAGCTGCTAATGAGCCCCGCCTGCTAGGAAGCATAGTTCCCATAAGGCGCATGCCTGCACATACACACAAAATTTCTCCTCTTGCCCATTTCCCCAGGCAGCAGCATGGTGAGTGGTGTGGCAGGCAGCCGGGGCTGCTGCCGCTGGGGG